CCTCCCATCCCTCCCATCCCCTCTCCCCTCCCTCCCATCCCCACTCCTCTCTCACTCCCTTTCCTCCCCAATCCTCCCCTCTCCCTCTCCCCGCACCCTTCTCCCGCCATGAGGCCTCCTGCCTCCTCCTGCCCTCCCCTCCCGCCCTCATTGCTAGATCAACAGCCTCAAATGCAAGGATACGTGCATACAGACATGGATATACTCAAACACACAAGCATTGATGCAGCAACACAGTCACAAGCAAACATGCAGCTATATGTAAACGTTCACACACACACACACATAAAGTAGATAAACAAACACACATGGACAGAAAATACAGAAAAAAACATATTCATTCATATTCAAACACTCATATCTAAAGTGAATATATTCAGTCACAAACACACACACAAAAGCACCCCCCCCCTCCACACACACACAAGCACCCCCCCCCACACACACAAGCACCCCCCACACACACAAGCACAACACACAAGCACCCCTCCCCCCACACACAAGCACCCCCCCACACACACAAGCACCCCCCCCCCCCACACACAAGCACACACACAAGCACCCTCCACAACAACCCCTCCCCTCCCACACACACAAGCACCCCTCCCCCCCCACACACAAGCACCTCCCTCCCACACACACAAGCACCCCCTCCCCCCCCACACAAAGCACCCCCTCCCTCCCACACACACACAAGCACCCCTCCACACACACACAACACACGAACACACGCACCGCATAGCTCGCCAATTTCCCTCTTAAAAAGCCTACAAAGAACCCATGAAATCCTCATGAAATCCTCATGATCTCTTCCTCTTTTTCCTTTCCTCGGCTCCCTTACGCACCCGCATCCGGCACCCTCTTCTCCGTCTTTTCCTTCTTCTTCTTCTTCTTCTTCCTTGTTCACCTTTCTTTCTTTTTCTTTTTTTTTCTCATTCTCTTTTTCGTGTTCTTTCTCCTCCTCCTCATTCTTTTTTTTTTCTTCTTCTTCTTCTTCAACCACCACTAGCCCGACATCCCACTCGGAACCCCCTAACCCCCACCATCCCTTCTCCCACTCCTCCCACCCCATACACCCTCCTTCTCCCCAACCCCACCAACCCTCCCTCTCCACCCCATCCACCCTCCCTCTCCCCATCCCCACACCAACCCTCCCCTCTCCCCACCCCACCCCCCACACCAACCCCTCCTCCTCCCCTCCCTCGCCCCACCCCATCCTCCCACCCCCACCAACCCCTCCCCACACAACACCAACCCCTCCCCTCTCCCCATCCCTACCAACCCCTCCTCCTCCCTCCTCTCCCCACACCACACCTCCCCACCCCTCTTTGACCCCCCCCCCCCGCCCCATGGCCACCAAATCAGCTGTTATTTTCAGATGTTTCCCGTGGCGCAACATCACTACGCATGCTGATCTCATTAATACTATATAATATAAAAAAAATCTTGATTAAATTCACGTTTATTTAGCGCGAAGCTGAAAATTTATTACTGATCCTCGACAGAAGCTGAGAAAAGAAAGAAGAAAGAAAAAGAAAAAGAAAAGAAGAGAGAGAGAGAGAGAGAGAGAGAGAGAGAGAGAGAGAGAGAGAGAGAGAGAGAGAGAGAGAGAGAGAGAGAGAGAGAGAGAGAGGAGAGAGAGAGAGAGAGAGAGAGAGAGAGAGAGAGAGGAGAGAGGAGAGAAGGAGAGAGAGAGAGAGAGAGAAGAGAGGAGAGAGAGAGAGAGAGAGAGAGAGAGAGAGAGAGAGAGGAGAAATAAATAAATAAATAAATAAATAAAAGAAAGAAAGAAGAAAGAGAGAGAGAGAGAGAGAGGAGAGAGGAGAGAGAGAGAGAGAGAGAGAGAGAGAGAGAGGAGAGAGAGAGAGAGAGAGAAGAAAGGAAGAAGGAAGGAAGGAAGGAAAGGAAAGAAAGAAAGAAAGAAAGAAAGAAAGAAAGAAAGAAAGAAAGAAAGAAAGAAAGTAAAGAAGAAAGAAGAAGAAAGAAGAAAGAAAGAGAAAGAAAGAAAGAAAGAAGGAAAGAAAGAAAGAAAAAGAAAGAAAAGAAGAAAGAAAAGAAAGAAAGAAAAGAAAGAAGAAAGAATGAAAGAAAAAAAAAAAAAAAAATCATCCAGATGTTCTTAAAGTGTTTATCTGTTTCCTTTTTCATCACCTTGTTGCCTTATAGGTAACTTTTATCTATAAACGTAAGGGAACGTAAAAGAAATGTTAAAACATTTAAAATCACGTCTCCATGTATATAAATGTTGCATTGAGAAAAGCGAGTATAATTTTCCCATTTGGCCGAGAGAGAAACAGTGCGAGTAAAGAAATAAAGAAAGAAAGAGAGAAAAGAAAGAAAGAAAGGAAGAAAAGAGAGAGAGAGAGAGAGAGAGAGGAGAGAGAGAGAGAAGAGAGAGAGAGAGAGAGAGAGAGAGAGAGGAGAGACGAGAGAAGAAAGAAGAAAAGAAAGAAAGAAAGAAAGAAAGAAAGAAAGAAAGAAAAGAAAAGAAAGAAAGAAAAGAAAGAAAGAAAGAGAGAAAGAAAGAAAGGAAGGAAGGATGAAAAGAGAGAAAGAAAGAAAGAAAGAAAGGAAGGAAGAAAAGAACGAAAGGAAGAAAAGAGAGAAAGAAAAGAAAAAAAAAGAAAAAAACATTAAAAAAGCATTCTTAACCTGCCAAGCATTCTAGTAAGGCCTAAAAAAAAAAAAATAAATAAATAAATCTAAATCACAACAGTAATAATAACCCATTTATAGCTCTTTTTCTACTTTTTAAAAAATAATAACAACTCATTATAGCTATTTTTTTTTTACTTTTTTAATAATAATAACTCATAATAGCTTTTTTTTTTTTTTACTGTTTTATGATCATTAAGGTGAGGTCTGGACGAAACGGGCGGGAAAAAAATCCACCCGTTTTCTGTTGCATCCTGTCGGCTCCCATTTATAATCTCAGTTTACATTATTATCCGATTCTCTGTTTCCTTCGCGCTCAAACAACGAATGAAAAGGGGCGACGCGCATGAAAATATACGTCAGAGTATATAAATACATTTTTTAACTTGATATTATTATTTTTCTTTACTTTTTTATCTTTTTTTTTATTTTTTGAAAATCGAATGCCACGTGGGTCTCTATTTCCTTCCATATTTACGGACTTCACCGGCATGTTACCCTCCATAAGACAACACACACACACACACACACACACACACACACACACACACACACACACACACACACACACACACACACACACACACACACACACACACAACACAAGCACCCCACACACACAAAAAAAAATCCACTTCCGCTGTAGGCCTATGCCCCCCCCCCCACTTATGGAGCCCAAGTCGGGGTCCTGTCAGTTACATAATTAATGGGGGGAAAAAAATCACCATTATCCTTGTATTGTCTGAAAGCTGCCGTAACGTCTGTCGGGCCGAATAACCGACTTCGAGTGTGTAGGGTATGTGGGGGGGTGGGGGGGGGGTGAATGGCTCTCTCTCTCTCACGTGACACGTTTATTGAATCATGATAATTATATACCTTTTCTTTCTTTCTTTTTTATTTTTTATTTATTTATTTTTTTTTTTTTTTCTTTTTTGGGCGTGATTTTATCTTCTCAAATAAAAAAATATATACATATGTAGGTATGGTGGTGATGATGGTGATGAAAAATGATGATGAATAATGATAATGATAAGATGATAATAATGATAAGGATGATAATGATAATGGTAATAATGATGAAATAATGATAATGATAATGAAGATAATGATAATGATAATAATAATGACAATAACAATAATATAATAATAATAATAATAATAATAATAATAATAATAATAATAATAATAATAATAACAACAATAATAATAATGATTATGACAATAATGATAATGATAATAACGAAGAAAATTAAGAAGAGGACGAAAACAACGAGCAAGAATGAAAACAACACACCAAAACGAAACCAACTATCGCACTTAAAACAAGATTCCCCCCCACCCCCCACCCCCAACCACCCCCACCACCCACCCCTGTCCCCCCGCCTACCCTGCCAGCCAAAGAGGTGGGTAGGTGGGGGATGGGGGGGGGGGGGTGACCCTCACGCAAACCCACACCTACACAGTATCGGTTTACCATTTTTAAAGTCTAATGACGGGCGGGGTGCACAGGGGATGGGTGGGAGGGGGGTGAGGGGGACGTGAGATGGGGGGGAGGGGTGGGGGGGAAGACGTGAGATAGGTGGAGGGGGTGATGGGTGGAAGGGGGTGGGGGGGCGTGGAGATGGGGGGAGGGGGGGACGTGAATAGGTGGGAGGGGGGGGACGTGATGAGGGGAAGGGAGGGGGGGACGTGAGGGTGGAGAGGTAGGGGAACGTGAGATGAGGGAGGGGGAGGAGGAGGGGACGTGAGATAGGTGGAGAGGTGGGGGGACGTGAGATGAGGGGGAAAAGGGGGAGGGGAGTGTCCGCTTATTGTGCAACTTACGCGCACGAACGGGCGGTCCGTTCTGGCACTCGCAACACGTGGCGTCCGCCGTGCTTGATAATAGATATGGATCGACGCCCAATAACGCCCACGCCAGAGCGATTGAGAGGCGCCCGTGCTTGGGCCGACACGTGGGCACCCTTTCGGAAATATTAGCGCCCAACTAAGACTTAAAATGAGATAAACTAATCAAATTCTCAACTAAAAAACGATAGATTAATAGAATTTACAACTAAAAAAACTTTAAACCCCACTCCTTAGAAACCTCCAAACCCCCACCCTTAGAAACCTTAGAAACCCACCCCTTAGAAACCATAAAAACCCACTCCTTAGAAACCTCAAACCCCCACCGCTTAGAAACCTCAAAACTACCCTTAGAAACCTAAAAACCCACCCCTTAGAAAACCTCAAAACCCCCACCCCTTAGAAACCTCCAAACTCCACCCCTTAGAAACTAAACCTCAAAACCCCACCCCTTAGCCCACCCTTAGAAACCATTAAAAGAACCTTAGAAACGCCACGGCCTTAACACGGAGACCCAACCCCTGATTTTCGTCGCGGTGAAAGCAACTTCGCACACTCCCCTCGCGCGCCGTATCCCCGTGAAACTAACGCGCCACAAGATGACAATAATAAGTGAGAGAGAGAGAGAGAGAGAGAGAGAGAGAGAGAGAGAGAGAGAGAGAGAGAGAGAGAGAGAGAGAGAGAGAGAGAGAGAGAGAGAGAGAGAGAGAGAGAAGAGAGAGAGAGAGAGAGAGAGAGAGAGAGAGAGAGAGAGAGAGAGAGAGAGAGAGAGAGAGAGAGAAGAGAGAGAGAGAGAGAAAGAGAGAAAGAGAGGAGAAAGAAGAAGAAAGAAAGAGAGAGAGAGAGAGAGAGAGAGAGAGAGAGAGAGAGAGAGAGAGAGAGAGAGAGAGAGAGAGAGAGAGAGAGGAGAGAGAGAGAGAGAGAGAAAGAGAGAAAGAGAGAAAGAGAGAAAGAGGAAAAGAAAAAAGAGAAAAGAAAAAAGAAAGAGAGAGAGAGAGAGAGAGAGAGAGAGAGAGAGAGAGAGAGAGAGAGAGAGAGAGAGAGAGAGAGAGAGAGAGAGAGAGAATGAGAGAATGAAAGAGAAATGACGAGAATGAGAGAATGAGAGAATGAAAGACGAGAGAAAGAGAGAAAGAGAGAAAGAAGAAAAGAAAAAGAAAAGAAAAGAAAGAGAGAGAGAGAGAGAGAGAGCGGAGCGAGAGAGAGAGAGAGCGAGAGAGAGAGAGAGAGAGAGAGAGAGAGAGAGAGGAGAGAGAGAGAGAGAGAGAGAGAGAGAGAGAGAGAGAGAGAGAGAGAGAGAGAGAGCCGAGAGAGAGAGCGAGAGCGAGCGAGAGCGAGAGCGAGAGCGAGAGCGAGAGAGAGAGAGCGAGAGCGAGAGCGAGAGCGAGAGCGAGCGAGCGAGAGAGACGAGAGCGAGAGCGAGAGCGAGAACGAGAGTGCGAGAGAGAGAAAAGAAACAAAAGAAAGAAAAAAAAATGTGCTTTTTAATATCACCCTTATCGACGAGGCGTTGGTCGCGATTCACAAACAGCGATTCATAAATCCGGAATTGATATCGACACCATTCCCTCCCCTCCCCCCCGAAAAAAAAATCAAAGATCAAGAAGCCAAAAAATTAAAGGAAAAACAATGTCTGACTCCATAAAGACTTGTAAATATCTCAAGTCCAAAAAAAAAAAAAAAATTATAATCAGAGTGAAAAGTAAAAATAGTAATGATAGTAATAATAGCAATAACGGAACGGAAATCATAAATATGTCTGCTACGGTTGTATTTATAGCCAATTTCAAACAATCATTCTATATAACATATTATTGTATATGCATACACAAGTAGTTTATTAGTATGTAAGTAGATATGCGTGAAAGGGATGGACGGGCACGTGAATATAAATGAGCTTTAATTGATATTATCAGAGAGGAAGAAAATAAGAAGGAGGAAGGAGGAGGAGAGGAGGAGGAGGAGGAGGAGGAGGAGGAGGAGGGGAGGAGGGAGGAGAGGAGGAGGAGGAGGAGGAGGGAGGAGGAGGAGGGAGAAGGAGGAGGAGGGGGAAGCATAAGAAAAGATGAATAAACCCTTTCTCATACCGCCCTTCGACCCCACCCGCCCACTCACCCACCCACCAACCTATCCTCCTTCCTTCCTCCTTCCTCCTTCACTCTCTTCATTCACACCCTCGATTCAACCCAACTCCTTGCCTCCCTCCTCTCTCTCTCACCTTCTAACCACCACCCACCCCCTTCCCTCCCTCCTCCCCTCTCCATCCCTCCTCCTCTCACCCTCCTCTCTCTCTCTCTCTTCTCCCTCCTTCTCTCCTCTCCTTCTCTCCTCCCTCTCCTCCTCTCCTTCTCTTCCCCCCCAATCTTTCCCTCCCTCCCTTCCTCTCCCACCCTTCCCACCCACCCACCCACCCTCCCTCTCTACACACCCTTCCCACCACACACCTCCCTCTCTACACACCACCCACCCGCCCCGACCCACCCGCCCACCGACCCACCCACTCACGAACCACCTCCCAAAACCCCCCGAAAATTTCACGCCACGAACGCCACGAACGCGCGTGGGGTGCAGACACGCGCGCGCCCGGCCCCGCCAACGCCGCCTCCAACCCGGGCGTGGAAATGGCGACCGCGGCTGGCGTATATCGTCACTCAACGCGAACCGGTGCTTCCTTCGCGCGACTGAAGGTGGAAGGAGGGAGAGAGGGAGAGGGAGAGGAAGAGGGAGAAGGGAGAAGGAGAGGGAGAGGGAGAGGGGAGAGGGAGAGGGAGAGGGAGAGGGAGAGGGAGAGAGGGAGAGGGAGAGGGAGAGAGAGAGAGAGAGAGAGAGAGAGAGAGAGAGAGAGAGAGAGAGAGAGAGAGAGAGAGAGAGAGAGAGAGAAGAGAGAGAGAGAGAGAGAGAGAGAGACAGAGAGAGAGACAGAGAGGAGAGAGGAACAGAAAAGAGAGAAACAGAGACAGACAGAGAGAGACAGAAACAGAGACATACAGACAAACA